CAGTGGGAAAAGATTATGGGGCCTTTTCCAAAAATTGTGTGGAAGTCCAGAAAAATTCTTTCAACAAGCATATATACATAATTATTGTCCTATTGCTTTAATGAAAAAAAATGGCTGCAATATTACACCAGCCGAGATAAAGGCAGTATTTATTTTTTTTTTTAAATATAATTACATTTATATAAAAATGATATATTTTTAGGGATCAGAGATACAAATATTACATTCTAGTTGTGACAAGGCTTTATTAGATATAATTAAAATCATAAAAGCTGAAATTGTAATTGGTATTGGTGGATATGCAGAAAAGCGAGCACAATTTGTAATTCAATCATCAAAATTACCTATTAAGGTGATTATGAAAATTCGAATTAAAATAGATTTGAAACATATATTTTTCATATTTTTATGTTTTTAGGTATTATGTTTACCTCATCCAAGTCCACGTGCTGTAAATAATAAAAATTGGAGTGAAAAAGCTACCAAAAAATTAAGTGAATTTGGATTACTTCAATATTTTGTATCTTAGATTCATTTTACATTAGAAGTTTAAGAATATTTAATAAGAAGAATAAAAATAAAAAAATATAGAAAATTTTTTGTTTGTTTATCAGTATTATACAAGTATTAGTTATTCAGTACAAATTATACTAATTTACTATGTAAAATTTATGTGATTGTTTTAAAAATTTGTAATAATTTATATTATCACATGTGAATGTGTTTGGTAATATTTCTATAAAAATGTATAAAGTTTATGTTATTATAATTCAAAAAAAAACATAATGGATTTTTTAAGTTGGATGAATATTGCTTTGCAAAAAGCAAATGATTCATTACAAGCTGGTGAAGTTCCAGTTGGTTGTTTATTTATATATAATAATAAAGTTATTGCTACAGGTAACAATACAGTTAATGAAACTCATAATGCAACTCGACATGCAGAAATAAATTGTATAGATCAAGTTTTAGAATTCTGTAAAACAAAAAATTTGAGCTATAAAAATATTTTTTATAATATTAATGTTATTGTTACAGTAGAACCTTGTATAATGTGTACATCTGCATTATGTCAGCTACAAGTATGTAACATTATATATGGTTGTGGAAATGATCGTTTTGGGGGATGCATTAGTGTTTTTGAAATACCAAAACTTTATAATTCAAGAACAGCAATAATGGGAGGTATTAAAAGTCATGAAGCAATGACTTTATTAAAAGAATTTTATAAAGGCACAAATCCAAATGTACCTGAATCAAAAGTAAAAAAAAATCATAAAAAAATACTACAAAATTAAACAAAGATTTAATAATTTTTATGATTATAATTGAAGAGTAAAGAGGAAAAACAAAAAATATTATAAAATATTTTTATTGAAAAAGATATTTTAGTTAACTAATAAAAAAATAATGAATTTAATATATATATTAAATTATATAATTATATATATATATAAAATATATATTTTATATTATTCACAAAATAAAGTATACATTTTAATTAAATTTAAATTTAATCGTAAAAAAAATGAATAAAATAATAATTGTTAATTTTAATTTTGATAAACAAAAAATTATGAAATTGGTCATTTCTCGTTTTTCTCTTATTCTTCAATTTATTATTAAGAAATAAATTTTAATTTTATTTTAATTTGGATAATGAAATATATAAATAATAAATAACATGTTAATTCTAAATCAGAATTGATTGTATACTGCCAATACATATAAACATTATTTATATAAAAATGTAATAATTTATAAAATTCTTAAAAAATATATTTATGAACACCATGAAAGATCTAATTCACATTTACCTTGATACCATCTAACAAGTAATTGATTTTTTAATGTATAATCTTTTAATACCATATTTTTTGTCTAAAATAAAAAATAATAAATAAATAATATATTATATATATATTACAAATTATATATATATAAAATTATATATATATATTATAAATTATATATATATATAATTTTTAATGAAAATAAAATTTATTTTAAAGAATCTTACTATAGGAGGTGGAAAAATTCTTTGAAAATCCATTTTATTCTGATGTTCTAAATAACTTTGTGAGAAAATCATTTTAATTTCTGGTGTAAAACATGGATTACACAATTGACATTCTACACGAAAACAATCATTACATTCTATACATAATTCTGGTAAAACCATTATATTCTTGTCAGCTATTTCCATTTGTTTTTCCATTTTATTTCTAAAATATATTAAAAATTTTTTAATAATATACCTTAAAAAATTTTTAATTTAATTATAAATTTATGAGACCTTATTTTTAAAGAATCTTTTCTGATTCTTTGTCCTATACCGACTAATGAAAATAAATTGAATATAATTTGTTCATAAAGTAATTGATTTGCTGGATAATGTGCTGAGGATAAATTTGGAGACATATTTGCCTCCATGATATATACATTTAAATCTTCATCAAGAGCAAAATCAATTCTAATTAATTCGAAAAAATTTCTTTCATTTCCAAAACGTTTTATAGCTTTTATAATATAACTCTCTTTTAACAAAATAATTTCTTTGATTGCTTCATATATATCATTCCAAATTTTTTCTGGATATTTTCCATGCGAACGTACATATGCGTCGAATGAATTTTTCATTGAAAATTTTAATTTAGTATAATAATGTTTCAAAGATGGAACATTCCAAATTGGCAAGTAATCATCACCAACTATGTATTTGTCTAAAATTTCAGAATTGAATGGATAATATTTTATGGGACAAAATCTAAAAAGAACATCACCTTTATATGCATATACTCTAAGAGGATTCACAGATGTAATTACGACATATATTCCAATATCAAATTTATATCCATCTATAAGAAATGGTCGCTGTATAAATTCTTGCATAAAAGATCCAATTTCTGTAACACTTATTTCACTTGTATTTTTTATACTAATACCCCGATGATTATTCGATTTTTGTACAAATATTTTCTCGGAATGTTGATTAGAATATAAAAGAAATTCTTCATATTGTTCTGGTATTTTAAATGCTGGTAAGATATAGCGACTTTCTGATGTTGATAAATCTACTTTATTTGTAATGTATCCACAACCAGGAAAATGATTGATTCGTTGATGAGATTTCAATTTGTTCATACTAAAATTTAAAGTTCTAAATGGGTAATCATGTGCCCACAGTAAATCCCAATTATATTCATCATGAGTTTGTTTAAAACCCAAACGTTCTAATACGATAAATACATGTTTTAAATGTTCAATATTATTACTTCTTGTATATATTCGATACAATGGATTTCTTTCTTTCATTTCTAATACTTTTATTTGCATTTTTGTTAAATTTTCATGGTAGTATAAAAAAGAAAAAAATAAATAATATAAAATTATTGGACCCATTATAGAATATAAAAAAATTTTTAAAAATGTTTTCATTTTTAAACTAATCATTTGAGTATAAATTGTAGAATGAACATTCTAAAAACAATTTAATTATTAATTTAAATAATGAAAATAATATGACTTAAAAAGATTTACAAACCTGTTTATTCAACATGATTAAATGTAAAAATCTAATCTTAATAAAATTATATATATTTATGGAATTATAAATATGTATATATAAACACAATGTATTTGTGATCAAACCATTAAATTTTAGTCATTTAAAGTACCGTTATAAATTTCTCTACATTATTCACTTCTAAATGAGAATATACATTTAAGAATTAGTTTCTATACAATAAATCGCCTATATTATATTCTGTTTTTCAAATATTCTATTTACTTTTCTTTAAAATAACTTTAATGAAATAAAATATGCAAAATTATTTTTAGTAATAAAATTTATTTGATTTATTATAATATCTATTATTATATATTTACTATTTATATTATATTATTAAATTATATTTTTTATACAATTTTAATATATATGTATATATAATAATACGCATGTAAAATAAATATACATTTTAACGACATATATATTTAAAAATTGGTGGAAAATATATAGAACATTATTGTCATGAATAATGTATTACAAATTAATACACAGATAAGAATAGATAATATTTTTTATTCAATGCATTTTTATATCCATACTTAGAAGCATTAGGGCTCCTTTACAGAGTTTTTTCCTTACTATTTTAATATTATTCTCATTATATATTTTCCTAAAATAAAATCAAATTTTGGGCAATAAGTAAATTTAATAAATCCATTTTCATAAAAAAATTTTACAAATTTATTTTTATTAAGTTATAATATAAAATATGTGCATAATTTTTAATTCATGAATAATTCAACTCATATACATAATACATGAATCTGTATTAGGAATATATAATATATAATAATTAAAAAATTTATGAATACAATATATAATGCATAGTAATATTTATAAAAAAATGTCAAGAAATTATTTTTAAAATTAATTAACTTTTATAATTGAATTGAATATAATTCTTTCATTTATCACTTTAAATTGTAGAGGATATATCAAACTATAATTTTTTGCTATAGTATTTAAAACATTTATCATTTATTATTGTTAATTGTAAGTTTTAAAAATAAAAATTTATTCATATGCTTAGGATTTAATAAAATCAGAAAAAATGTTCAATTATCGTAGCAATCAATGTTTTATAGTCATCTATATTATATATACACAAAGATGATCAAATCGAAAAATATAAATTTCTATATTTTATTTTTTATTAGCATATTATAGGTTTAATTTATATCATATTTATAGTTTTTATAATAAAATTGGTTTTTAATTTTAATTAATAAATCTTTTTATATTGAATTGATAACGTATCACATGTGATACAAAAATATTAAGGCATTAACAAGTGAATTTAACATTAAAAAGCATTGCATATCACATCTAGTTTATATTTTATCTGTGACTAACATTGTTTTCGATCTTTTAGATTCTTGAATCGGTGCAGTTATTATTTCAATAAAAAAGAAATGGGATTTCAAAATATTTGGTATTCACATCCGCGAAAATATGGACAAGGATCTAGGTCTTGGTAAATATATTACTATTTTTTATTATATTATACTTCAAATAAATAAATTTGTATCAAAAAATTATATAAAATATATTTGACCGCGTGTCAATGTTTTTTTTATATCATCGTATATTTTATCCAACAAAAATTGTTTTAAAATATTAATTGCTATATTATTATTATTTATTATTAATTATAAAATGATATTTTAAAAAAAACTTTTTTGTATTTTTTAATATTTTTAATGATGATAAGATAACCTTAATGTTACAATTAATCATATTGTTATTTTATAGTCGTGCTTGCGCAAATAGACATGGATTAATTCGCAAATATGGTTTAAATATTTGTCGACAATGCTTTAGAGAATATGCTGCTGATATTGGTTTTAAAAAGGTATAAAATTTGATCTTTTAAATTTAAAATATATATATCTTTATATATTTATTTTCAGTTTTCTTTTACAGTTGGATTAATATTGCAACAATTCCTAAATTCATTCAAATGTGAATCCCATATAACACATTAATTGATGAAATTCAATTTTTATTGACAACATTATTTTGAAAAATTAAATTATGTTGTATTCTATATAATTATAATAATAAAAATAATTATTTTATGAAATATCAGTATCATTGATTTTATTAATTTTCGTGTATTTTTATAAATATATGTTTTTATAATATACAGTAAAAACATTAGTATAAAAAATATATATTAAAAATATATATTAGTATTAAGTAATTTTTTAATTAAATTAAGTTAAAATTACCTTAGATTTGAAATTATCTTAGATTTGAAAATTATATTTTTCAAAAAATTAATGCGTTGTTTAAATTTATAGATATATACAATCTTACATAAAAAAATCTATTTTAAGATAATTTTGTTTATATTTATATGGACTATATAGAATGTTATAGATTTACAAAAATCAATAGATAAGACTCAACTAGTAATTTTTTAAGTAATTTCAAGCCATTTTTTTTTACAAAAATTTTTACTTCGGTTTTATTAACGAGTTATTAAAAAAAAACATTAACCAATCATAGAATGTTAGAGTATATACCATCAGTGAATTATTAAATTTAAACAAGTTGAAATAAATATACTGAACAATTATTAGATAAAAATTATATCGAGTTATATTACTTACAAACTATGAATAAATTATCTTGTTTATTGGCCCAAAATCATTTTTACTATATTATCAATGATTCAATACGATTCATTCCCTAGATGATTATATTTTTCTACATCTGGCAATCTTGTTTTTCACAATAATATCAAATAAATATGTTTTAAATGTATATACGTAGACAGTACAATATACGAGTTATTTATAAATATATATCTTAAATAAAAAATAATATTTGTATATTTGCATATATTTCTTAAATGCAAAATATGGTATTTATAAATCCTCTACATTATACAAATCTACTTGGAGATTCTGCATCATACGTCTGGCGAACTTTTGAAGCAGTAAGTTGCAAATTTATTAAAAAATTTAATAAAAAAAAAATGATTTCTACTTTTATTATATTTAAAATATATTTAAATGATCTTGTATAAATATTATGAAATTAATTTATTACAACTAATTTATTATAAAACTGTATTATAATTGTTTATTGATATGATGTTAAATTAATAATGACATCGAATTATAAATATTTTCGGAAAATAAAATTAATATAATATTAAATATTTATTCTACATCCTTATAATCATTAAATTGAATCATTAATTGTAAAAATAATCATATTTTTTAAAATTATTTAATATTTATAACAGAAATTAAGAATTATGAAGTTTATCTATTATCTTTATTTTTATAAAAAATCTTTTAAGTAATATTAAATATGCAATATCATAATTATAAATATTATAAATAATATATTTATTATTATTTTTAGGATCTTTTTAGCAAGTTAAAATACAATTTGTACCTAATAGAATCTATTACTTATAATTACAACTTGAACTATTATTTTATATATGTATATATATATATATATATACATATATTATTTAATATTTTATATATTTTTTATATAAACTTACCTTTATAATTATTGATTTATAACAAATAGTTTTAACAATAATTTATATACAAATATTATAAAATAAATATTATATCAGAAATTGTCTTTAGGCACCCAAATATTTGGGATTAAAATCAAAAAATGAAATAAAAATACCATCACCAATACCGCTATGGAAATTAGCTGCAGATACAGGACCATATATTAGACTTGCCGCTTTTAGTGGTGCAGCAGCTGTAATTCTTAATGGATATGGTTTTTATAGTAAGATTAAAATTATTGTTGTGCTCTTTTAAATGCAATTTTGTTTAGAAAGAATTTTAATTATATAATACTGTAATTTAGTATAAATTTTTTACTAATATTTTTTGTTAAATATTTTTTAACAAAAATAAATTTTATGCAATCTTTTAATATATTATTTATAAAAAAAAATTTTTATTTATTATATTTTAGAACAATATCCAAAATATGATGAAGTACACCTCAAAAAAGTATTTGAAACTGCAAGTTATTTTCATTTTATTCATACATTAGCAATGTTAGGATTACCTCTATGCAAAAGACCTTTGTTGGTATGTTTAACTTTGATAAAATATCAATACATAAATTGGAAGAATATATTAATTACTATTTCATTATTTAGTCTACAACATTCCTGGTTTCTGGAATAATATTGTGCTGTGGAACTTGTTATTATTACGCATTTACGGGTAAGAAACAACATGATATAATAACAAAAGTAGGTGGAATGTGTTTTATAATAGGATGGTTATGTATGTGTATTTAAAATTTTACAAAACAATATGTGTGAAAAAATGAAAAGTAAATGAAAAAAATTATTATATGTAAATGTAAAAAATGATAATTAATGTTATCTTTAAATTTAAAATAAACTATCTATTATTAATATTTTTATCATTATGAAAATGTTATGAAACTATTTATGAAATAGTGATTAGAAAAAATATTTTGTTGGCAGGCAACATTTGTATTTTCATTTATTGAAAACTGCTAAAGAAATATAATATGATCTAAATAAAAGTAAAACTCATTTATACTAATGAATTGATGTAAACATAAATTTGTAATATTACTGATATAAGTTTAAATAATCCTAAACTATTATACATTATATTGTATTTCTAATTGCATATTTCATAGTGTAGAATGATTTTTTTTCTACATTATGTATATATTATCAACTATTCATTATTGTTATTCGTTATTAGAAATGTAATGCAAAAATACAACATGTTTTATGTTTTATCATAAAATACATAAAAATTATGAAGTATAAGAATATCGTAGATTGTCAGAAAAGAAATTTTGTATAATGCTAAAAAAAATATTTCAAGGATGGAACAAAGTTTTGAAGTAATCTTATTAATTTTATTTTAAAAATTAAAACGAGAAATAATGATTTAATACCAATTAATTTAATTGCTAATTTATCAATTAAGTTCCATATATATAAAAATAAAAATCAAAAGTGATGTATGTATATATTGATCATTTCAAGTAATAATACACAATATAAATGTAAAACAAATAGTCAATTATTTTTTTTTCTATTTGTGATCAATTCATATTTTCATAATTTTTGTATAGAATCACATTTCTACAGAAATATAAGAAAGTAATGTACCTTGTATAATCCATTTGATACACCAGCTTCGCTGATTTTTATATCCATTCTATTTCGTATTATACAGTTGTCGTACATGTTTCATAAATAGATACTTTGCCTGTAAATAAGTGGATATAAGAATTTTCTTCGATTCATGTATCATTATGATGACTTGACCTGATGATGTTGGCTGCTTTCTTATACAGCTAAGTAAAGTATTAATTGGACTATCTTACCTAGAATAAAAATATCAAATAAGTTTAATTAGTGATACATTGAATAAACTTAAATATAAGAGTTTTGCACGTTAATTCGCGCAGTGCTCGCATACTGAGAACTAAGCAGCGAACAAAAGAGATCGATTAAGAAATTAAAACGATAATCGTAAACACGCAATTATATTCGCAGTTATTATATTTTTATGATGATGAAACATGAGCTACGTTATTAGCGTGAATTTTTTTTCTTTTTTCATTTTGACTTGTGATTTCATTACAATCTGCAGTGAGGCATGAAATTGGCGATTTATGGCGATGCTAAATGCACCACTGATATAAAATTTACTTATGTCTAATAAACATCCTCTCAGACTAAATTATATTTAATTAGTATAGAGTTTCGTAGCAATATCATTTTTTTTTGTTACTATTATATAAAGTATTTATATAGACTTGCGCATATTAAACTATATTTACAACTTTTATTAATTATTGTAACACATCAAAGATAAGTTTCCTAGAACAAGGCTGCTCCCATTCTACCTGGTTCATAATACCACAAGAGGAAACTCATAGTAGAGCTAATGTCATTTTTGCACTTTTTTGAGAAAATATATCACAATCCATATTTATAAGTAAAAAGATAAACATCAAATTAAAATTTATTTAAATGAATTCTCACTAAAATCAAGAAAAAGATATTTTCGAAAAAGCTCATATAAAGTGCAAATATACGATTACTGAGAGTTGAAGAAAACACGCGCGCAGTTACTTTTTTAAATATTTTAAATGGTGTTTGAAGAATTTTTTCAACCTGGACAATACGATAGCAAAAGAGCAAATGGCGCGCCGGTTTTCCATCCGTTTCTAGGAAAGGTGGAACGAATGTTGTCCTTCTTGTGCAGCTATTCGCAACTTTTCCCGCATTATTTCTAATGTTGTATAATCAGGCAGTTTTAAGTAATTAACACAAGTCATTACGGATGGTAAGAAATCGTCTGTTTTCATAGATGGATCGAACGTTTTACGCACTATTGTTAACGGCGGTGTTAAACTCTTGAAACCTGAAAAATAAAATTTTATTTTTATTTTTTTTTTAAATTTTATGAATATATTAATATTATATAGTAGTTATATAATTTATTTGAAATTTAAAATTAAAAATTTACCTCCAACTGGTAATCGAGGTGAACCTGTAACAAACTGAACGAACTGCCTTTGTTCTTCACTATTATATTTTGACATAACTTCAAATAGAAAACGAATAGCACGAGAATCTGGTGTATAACCATGATCAGTCCTACAGCATTCCGAAAGTGTTTTCACATCCCATTGTCCACCTGATTGTGCATGTCCACAGAACACAGCTTCCAGTTCTTCAGGAAAGAATAATCTTAATTGTGATGGTGGGAAAACAGATTCAAATCCTTCCCTAAATGCTTCCATTTGTCTGAAGACACCTTCATATAAGAACCAATGTACAACCAACTAAAAAATGAATTATAAATAGTTATATATTTTTTAAATTATTGGTGATACATATAATATTATAAGCAAAAAATAATACCATATAATAGAGAGAAAAACTTTAAATAGTTAAACTAATTATACAAAAAAATTCATGAATTTATTATTACAATACCTTGATGTATTGATCTAGGTTATAAGTAGTAACAGGTATTTCACTTCCGCCTTTCCTTAATTCGATATTTTCATAACCCGGTAATT